ATCGGCGAACTGTACTAGCTACTGATTAAGTTGCACATCATAGTACTATAACAATAGATACCATCTAAGTGATATTTCATAAATAGAAATCGTTACTTTAGTATTATAAGCTATTCTTAGTTCTACGAAATTTATCACAAGCAACCTAACTATTATAGGAATTCCTAGTGATTCATTTTACGGTTGAATACGCCTCATACCTCATAATGTAATTGACAAACGTTTGAATGGAGTGCCAAGTATGTGTCAGAGTCGATTATGGTAGTATTATTAATAGAGTATCAAATATCTCTTAAGGATAAATGCCAAACTTATTACATAGTACGAATATCTAGGTATTTCTCGTAAGAGAAGGCAGAACTCTACATACCATTGTTATTTTCCATTTGCATTCCATTTAAGAAGAAAATGCAGTGAGAAAACGAATGTCTAAAAATTTCTTCATCTTTTTGGATGTCACGCTATTAACGAGCATTTGGACATAAACTTAAAATATCCCTACTACTGTTTTTACTACTACTAGTTTGCTGTAAGCAAACTACTTTAGTACGGATATTTGCAAGAAAATTTTCTCATTTCATCATAAAACAACAACAACGAAATATTAACATACCATCACGCCTTTTATCCCGAAGGGGTAGGCCTCTGCCTACCCCTTCGGGATTATGCACGTGCACATTATGGCACTTAATACCACTGTACAATGTTACAGCCACTTTATGAATCCCGTGTAAAAGGGGGTGAGCCTGTTGTCATATATGGGCACAATTCCAGACCCTTTGACTGAAATTTAAAAAAAACCACGTTATACGTTGCCCGAGTCGGGAATCGAACCCGAAACCCCTTGCCATAGTCGCACTTCCGATCACTCGGCCCGCGAGGCAGTCAGACAGTCATCAGAAATATTATTATGATTAATTACAAAATTATCTCAAATAAGCTTTGACAAAATACTTCTACACGACTCTAATATTCAGACTCGGATAAAGATAACTCGTTACCTAATAAAACTTAGTACTAAGCAAATATCAGTGTAAGAAATACTCAAAATTGACTTAGTATAAATGAGAAGTTTATAAGTACTCACAGATTAACTTAGTATCTGAACAACAAACTGGAGAAAGATGATGAAGTTGAACATTATAGTTAATCTAACAACTTTAGTTAGGTTATTACCTTGTTATTTGATAAACTTAGCAAACCTCAATGTTTTTGTCTTGGTCTTAAAAATAACTAGCTCATTCTAAGTAGAGAACAGAATATGAAACAATTTGAGAAAACATGACGTAGGTTTATTATTTTGTAACTTAACATAATGGCGCGCTGTGTACTTCTGAAGGTTTCGACAAATTACTCAAATTAAATATTATTATTTTAATTTATGTAATTTAACTGCACGGTTGGTGACTGGGCAAATGGCTGCCACGCATCGTGGCGCGAGTTCGATTCCCGAGTCCGATTGTTGTTCCGGGTTTGGGTGTGATGTGTACGTGCACTTGTATGTTTGTAAACGCACCCACGACCACCAACCATGCACACGCCAACGTTTTTTTAAAAGAGAAGAAAAAACATGTTATCAATTGTTTGACGAAGAATATTACGCTTAAGATTGTTGTGACTACTATCGTACCACGCGGCCCATCGAATTTATAAACTACTCGCTTCTTAAGTCCACTACGTCAACGACTGATCATCTGCAGCAATAACATTGTGACGATATCTATGTGTACTCAATAAGGATAGTCGGAAAACATAAGCATGGTCTCAAACCAAGATTTCTACCACATCATGTAACACTATCATTCAGTCAACAAATCCAGTAACATCAGTCCCAAAAGTCAGTTGGAAAAAGGTCAAGAGAAAGAAATGTTGTGTCGTGTCAGTAATGTCGTTCAATGTAGTGGAATAACGTTTAGTTGTTCGTTGAAGAGCTTCTTCAGTGAGCTCTGTCTGTCGGGCTCTCGACCCCATTCACTGTCACCGTATGTACTTACAGGTCTATCTTCAAATTACATGTCTACCTTACCGGCTGTTTAATGTAATTATATTTAGTTATGTGTAAGTTGGTTATATGACTCCTAGTCTTTGTGTGTTGAATGGAAATGTGTTTAATTTAAAATATTTTAAAGGTCTTGGTTTCTTAGTTAACGTTAATTTTCTTGTTATGAACATGACACATTATAGGTAGGTGTCAGCACAAGAGCTGAAAAGTTTAACTGTTGATCAAAAAATAACAAAAAAACACATAAATCATATATTTACGTTTTATTATGAAGTCAAAAGAAAAGAAGTTACGATCTGAATGCCTGCTGCCTGCATGCTACAAGAAGTTTAATAATATCAATTTTATTGAAATACTGAGCACATTTACGTGAAAATTTCTCTCACTCCTCAATTGTACTATTCCCGGCTTGATATTTCCAAAGTTGAAATTAATTTCAGATTCCAATGTCATTATATATTGCCTTCAATAATTCCCCAAGTTATGGTAATCCTAATCCCACGCCAATTGCTGGCCGGCCACTGCATTAATTTTCCTAAAATATGATAATTTTCATTATTCCACCGAAATTATAACCTACTTATTTTAATGAAAATATTCTGGACCAATTTGGAACTTATAATCACATTATAAGTTTGAAAATCCAACCGTAAATAAGATTTGAAACTTATCTTTTCTTCTAGTATTTTCTTGATGAATTTTACATATGACGAACATATATCTAGATAAGTTTGTAGATAGAAAAAGAAAACACAAGAAGACCTAATTAACTCATCTACCAATAGCTGTCCTTTCTTTGTTTATTACCTACTGCAAAACGTTATCAACTAGAAAATAATGTGGTGTAAATCGACCACCGGACGACCAATAGTAACAATAAATCAGTACTTACATATTGGCTATTTTAGATAAGATTACAGAATTAAAGAATATTATTATAAAATCTGGCTCCACTTACGTTATTACTGTTATTGCGTCATACGAAGTACTATAAGGAATTAGAAACTATTCAATTATCAGAGATAATTGCGAATACCTATTGTGCAATCATTGATTTGTTGAAATATTGTTTGACTAATTTATTATTACTTATTTGTTCTTGACTATCTTTTCAATCAATAGGTCGCAAGCCTGACCGCAAAAATGTTTAACTTGATTACCTGGTTAGGCAAAGAATAACTAGGTTTTCTATTTAGGTACTGTAGTTAGTAGACAGAAAGTCTAGTATTATTACATAGGACAATAGGCTCACTCTTTGTTTCCAGGAATTCGTAACTAATTTAGTTATCATGTTTTTCGGCGTTCTCATGTAATTATTTAAGGACTCGACGAGTTTCAAGCCATTCTAGTGGCTCATATTCATGAGCAGCATTCTGCGACCCGCGACATGGCGACTGTCGCGCTGCTACTGTCAGTCGTCAAATATTTACGTCTCTAATAATATTCTTTGTCAAATAATTACGTGAGTAAGTATATATACTTACGTGAGTAAGTATATATATATATATATAAAAATTAAACCCGTTTCCCGTTGTCACGCCATAACTTGAGAATGGCTGGACCGATTTTTTTGTTGTGTTTGTTATTGTCAGGAGAAGGTTCTTATTATTGAAAAAAAAAATCCTGAAAATCTTATGGGAACGGGAAAAAACGGGATTGCGTGTACGAAGTCGCGGGCAGAAGCTAGTATATAATAATTAATTTCGCAACTAACTGGCGAAAGATGGGTGTATACGTACGTATATTGTATATCTATATAAATAAAAATGAATTTCCGTTCGTTAGTCTCACTAAAACTCGAGAACGGCTGAACTGATTTGGCTAATTTTGGTCTTGAATTGTTCGTGGGAGTCCAGGGAAGGTTTAAAAGGTGAGAAAAATAATTTTGGCGGTACGTAGTTCGCCGGGTCAGTTAGTCTATCTATATAAATAAAAATCAATTTCCGTTCGTTAGTCTCGCTAAAACTTGAGAACGGCTGAACCGATTTGGGTAATTTTGGTATTGAAATGTTTGTGGGAGTCCAGGGAAGGTTTATAAGGTAAGAAAAAACATTTATAGGCGGTACGAAGGGCCAGCTAGTAATATATAAAAACTAATAATAAAGTCTTTTGACACAGTAAAATGTATTAAATGATCACATGAGCTCAACTTACATCTGCTTTATAAGTATAATTCATATATTTAAGAACAATCTTTTATTTTTGCCTTCAGATTAAGATACTCGTACTGTTTAGTAAAGATGAGTTTTTCCTTAATTAGCTATTCCGAGACTTGTGTCTAATAATGATAACGATTACAAGAAATTATTTTGTGTACTTTGATATTCTCCTAAAGTTTCCTGTTATTACGTGGCAGGGATAAAATAGAAATTGTAAATGAGAATCGAATTGATTGTTAATAGAATTTCTTTCTTTCATAAAAGAAATTAATGATTTTATGTTTGATTTGATTGAATTGGTTTTCATCTGGAAAATTTGTTTGTGTTGGAAATAACTAATAATCTACTGCCTACTTAATGTAACATTGAAAAGGAAGTTCATTAACAAAGTAGGTAGAGGAATATTTATAGAACAACCAATTTTTACCAGTACCTAATGTCATTACTTCGATCCTAGAAGACCCTTAAAGACTTGAAGATTCTTAAAGACCTATTCTAAAAGCAACCAGTCTGAAATCTAGGTTATTAAACCCCCAGGTTAACTTACCGTACCCTCAGCAGTGTTCTTCAAGGTCCGAGTGAATAGGTTGCTTATGGGACGACGTGGGAGCATGTCGTCCCATGATGCGATGATGCGGTCTATGATGGATCGTATACCGCATCATCGCTTACCACCAGGAGAGATAGTGGTCAACCGACAACCCACAAAATATATACAAAAAAAAAAGAAATCCTGACAAGGTCTTCTTTTGTGTCTTTGTATCTTACTTTTCTTAAACATTCAATACCTATTTAGATATGAAAAAAAAAACGATTTTGGTGATGAAAACGATATTTACCGACAACTTCTAAAGGTGCAGATCGTATTTCTGTGTGGAAGGTCGGTGCATCCGCAGATACTTCGCAACGGAATCGACCCGCCATCGCAGGCGTCGCTTGCTGTAAAACCACGCGGCGAGCACCCGATCTAGATATCTGCGAAGAGGAAAAATATAATTTAATTATAATAGAACATTTTCCGCAATTATATGTATATCTCGAGTATCTATTTCGTAATTATTTTGTCTTAAGCCTGTATAAATCTCAGAATATAATCTAGGATCAGATTTTTGCTTATCACTGGGGAATTATGGTTTGATATTTTGTTTCAACTTCCTCATAACTTGAGTGATCGCAAGGGTTTGCTAATTGAAGCATTGGTTTCAGCGTCGATTTTCACATGAAACAAAAAGGTAGATATTTGAAAATGGTAATAGCACACAATCTCTAACTATGGACTATTTAGTATTAACCTCTTTTGAGAACAAAAGGATGGATAGTATTTAGTTTACTTGTAAAGAACTCTTTTCATTAATTGCCAAAACATGATTTGCAGAAATAAGGTCTTAATAGATTAATTTATCATATGTTCCAACACAGGAAACCGATAACTATTAAATACCTGAAGGCTTACCCTAGTTAAACATGGGTAGATAAGGACTTTGTTTATTTACGTTTGTACGTATTGTCGAGTAAAAGTAAGATAAAGAAAAAATAAGTTTAAATTACATACATCTAATCATCTTCAAGACTAGTACCTATTGGGGTAAGTAGAGCCTGTAGAAAACCAATTAAGGCACCAATTATTCTTTAAACAGTAGTAGCAAGTTGTACAAAGTCAGTTCACCAATCGATTTCCTAAATTCTACTTGCTATCACTGGAATAATATGGAACCTGCCTTGGTTGTGGCAATAGGTACACCTCCTAGAATAGGGATAGCGAACTATTGATACACATGTCACTGGTCGCACAATATTTCGGGCATATTATTGATCACAATTTTTTTCCTATGTCGTTATTTTCAGATGTGAATAATATTGATGATTCAGTTACACAAACAACTCTAGTTCAGTTTGAATTTTGCTTAACAAATTACAAAAATAAAAAGAATATTATTTTGATGACACAAGTACATACGCGTCCTAGTACATGGCCCTACTACCATGTCCTACTACCACGTCCTACTACCATATACTAGGACCTTGTACATGGTATGTGACGTAAAAATTGACTGTTACATTTATAATCTGTTAACAGCACCGGTGCAGTCCATCAGGGACTCAGGAAATAAAAGGAGTTGTTATATTTTGTTTAATGTTCAAAATACCTATAAACGTTTAATAAACTCAAAACCAAAACCCAAAACCCATTGCAAATCAAAACCCAGTTAAAAAAAAACGTTTTGACTGAACTCATTCGGAATAAAGATTATTTATACTATTCTTATTTATTTACGTTTACTATCACTAAACTTTCACCATATTTTTCTTCAAACGATATAAGTACGTGATCCCTCCACTTCAGCTCAATCGTGTTTATTAATCCCACGGAAAGGTCGCAAACCTAATGCGATACACCGCAATATCCCAAAGCCGATTTATTAGACCTCTACGTGGCGATTATTGGTCATGAACTCATGAATATTTTCTGCTTTACACGACCTATTTTATCCTTTTCCTCCTTTAATCAAGAGGTAGTAATTTAAAAATGACGGCCTCGTCATAGTGGTCGCCATTTTGAGAGATCTCTGGTGACCAAATTGGAGAAGGTTATATGAAAATGTTCGATTTTTGTCAGTAACAGCTTGAAATTTGAAACTGCAGTTTGTGTATCACAGTGAATTTGCTCCGTATTACATGGATAACATTATAATCAAAAATTGCCCTATATTTTGGATTATATACACTTTCCTTCGTGACAGACAGAACAGAGGGCGTGTTGTAAGCACGTAACACAGCACCGCCCCATCAAACAAGCCACTATCTCTTGTCACATCACTCAACAGGAACCACGGCTTGTACTACGCCTAATTATAGCCACCATAAATTCTACCAAAGCATTCAATATCGATCATATAAAAAGGTTCATTTAAAAGCGCCCTTCCAAGGCTAAGTACCCTAAATACTACAATTTGTAAGTAATTTATAGTGCCACAAATTAAGATTAATGTTACTTGATATTGGGGAGGCATCCAAAATAAATGTTTTAGTGCGTAGTAAAAATAAGAATTAGTAACATCGTCATGTTTACGACTGACGGGAATCGAACTGTGGGTCGTCAGTTTTACTGTTTTACGCTAGCCTTTGTTGGTAATGACATTAATTTTATTTATTTTTATCCTGTTGATTACAATTGAAATGAAATGTTACATTTTACCAAGGTGTTTGAAGAAGGCTACGTTATATGTATTGAACAATGCATCCTACTCTTCGCGAGTCATATTAGCTTTTCCTATGTTTGCATAATGTATTATGTTGTTAAACAAATCAAAGACATTTTTCACGACCCAGTACCTCATGATTGCAAACATCCTGTCTACCATTAAATCCACCCAAAATTACAATTTAAATCTGTACTGTCGTTCAATTTACCTCTATATCTTTGTTCTGTCCCATTTCTTTTCGGTGCGTGACGATGAGGGTAATTAAAGCAAAGAAAGAGGCTATTTACTCTAGTAGTCTGTATTTATACAGGCGTTGCTACACGTTCAGCCACGTTACTTCAAAGTTGATCCTCTAATTCGTCCTTTTCGATTCCAAAGATACGTACGGTCAAAGAGCACGTTACGAACTTTTAGATGTTGATTGAGAAATAAAACTTGGTACGTATTTCTAATTCTGGCGATTCATTCATGAAATAGAAAATTGTACTTTATTCTGGGATTATTAGAAATCAGTATGTCTTATCAATATTTATGGAATCCTATAAAAATCAATCCTAAAACATCACCTTTGTGAAATCGCTCACTCATTGGTGATGCATTCTCCTTCTTTAGATCTGTTGCTGTATTACTGGAAAGTTAAACCTGCCTATAACTAAGGGCCGATTTTTCAATCATCAGTTCATTATTAACTGTAGAATAAAATTGATATTTGATAGGTCTTAGTATGGAAGAATTGTCAAATATTCAAAGTTATTTCTTAGTTAAAAATCTGGAGTTGGAAAAATCGACCCTTAGTCAAGCAAAATCGTCTATTACACTTGTTATGTTAACGAAAGCCCTTGTCCTACTTTAAAATCTAGTAACATCTACTGACTAAATAACAAAGAGCGCTGTTTGATATTAATAAATTAATGTTCATCAACTTTTATCCCCGACTGTACGCTGAAGTTTTCCAAGTAAGGAGGCAAGAAGTAATTTGTTGAAATCCATCTCTTATTTAGTGTGAAATCTATGCATTAGGTGACGTCAAACTTTCTCCAGCCAGCTGCCACGTTTCGGAATATAATTCGCATATTCATTTTATAACTTCAGTTTAGGTGAACATCGGTCTAACTTCACTGAGATATTCGTTTGTTCCTTCTACTTATACAGTCATATAAATTCACATGTGTATTCTAATGTAAGGTTTTTTTTCTTTTTTAAAAAAATTTGCTCCACACTAGGATTATCTTCTGTGTCGTGGGTGCGTTTACAAACATTCAAGTTCACATACACATGACACCCAGACCCGAAACAACAATTTGTGGATCACACAAAGTGTTGTTCCGTGCGGGAATCGAACCCGCGACACGTTGCACGGCAGCCGGTTGCCCAGCCACCGCACCAACCGTGCAGTCGCGGGTATCTCTATTTAAATAGACAAATATCTTAATGCCTAAATCTCGTTAGTTATTCTTTACAAACTATAGACTTCAGTCGAACCTAGGTGTCTCAGCGCTAATACTAAATAAGTTAAGGAAATTGTAGAACAAAATACTTTACTAGACAAAATAATAACAACTTAACTAAATAAATAAATAAATAAAAAACTAACGCACGTAAGATCTTCAGCACAAAATCCATTAAGTCGACGTTTTCTTCATATATTTCTTGAGTAAAAATATTTTATCATTGTCGCACGTTCCTATTAGGGCCCGATCTAATGAAATCGTACATCAGATTTCATCTCGGAATTGCTTATTTCAGCTTCCAAAGCTATAAGAAGTCGCCTATCAAAGTTAGGCGGGACGACTCAACTCAATATACGATTTCCTCATAATGTAATTTTGTTGTCTTATTTTATGCTCCGTTTTGTCGGGCAGCAGTGATTCTGTTTTCTAATGCTTTTAATTAAATAATTACCACAGACGTTTATCTTTATCTAGATATAATTTATTATTAGACTGCAATCAAAATTTTGCGACGATTGATATTTTTATTCCTCTTCGGGTTTCGTATGATATTCGCAATTAAAGTAAAACAAAATGATAAATAGTAAAGTACATCCATATATACACAACATCACACATTTTATACCCGAAGGGGGTAGGCGGAGGTACACATTACGGCACTTAATGCCACTGTACAATGTAGCACCCACTTTTCACTATTTATGTTATGAGTATTTTAAAATGGCAATAGTGTCATATACCGGGCATGTACACCACACACAGACTCCGTGCTACTACTGAGGTTTTTTAAAAACCCAGATATACTTTGCCCTACCCGGGAATCGAACCCAAGACCCCTTGTCCGGCAGTCGCACTTGCAACCACCGGCCAACGAGGCAGGTAGTAAAGATTCGTGCAAATATGTTTGTAATAAAATAAATCACAATAAGTAATGACTTGCAACAACAATACAATGGGTACAGATACATGGTTATAGGTACAATGGTATCTTAGCGTCATACGTATCTTTCCCAGCTGACCTCAGAATTGACATTTGTTACCTACACAATTATAAATAGTAAACAAACGAACATTACGTAAGAGATAATGCACAGGTTAATGAACTTTATGCTTCAATATTTTACACGTAATAATGCCCACAGGCCCCTAAAAACTACTTCTAGAACATTATTCGCGAAACATTATTAAAGCGTGAACGTTATCTATCGAAACATCCGGGTACTAATTGCTAATCTTCTATTGTAACTGATCAAACTTCGTCGAGTGATTAATTAATACCTGATTAAAACGTAGGTGTCCGACTAAATAGAGAAATAATGTCATTAGAACACGCCGTGGACATAAGTAAGAATAATATGATTATATCTTCCACTATCTGAATAGATAATTGGAATTTTACTACGTACTTACAAACCTATGTAAGAATTCTACCTTTAGAATAAGTGTCATGTTGTACTTTTATGATATTGTTTGACCAACAGAGTAAAATACATTGCTTTCGATCCAATAACTAATAATGTAGTTATAGACCAAATATGGTATTACGTACGAAGGTAATTTCCAGCTAAACCCCTCAGCTGTTCTGTTTATACTTGTTTTTTTATTTATGGAATAGGACAGACGAGCAGACGAATCACCTGACGGTAAGCGATCAGCGCCGCCCATGGATACTCACAACACCAGACGACTCACAGGTGCATTGCTGGCCTTTTAAAAAAGAGTACGCTTTTTTCTTGACGGTTTGAAGGTCGTATTAGTTTGGAAATACCGCCAACGACAGAGTAATTGTATACAATACAATTTGAAGAAATCTTTAAAATTGTGATCAATACAAAAAGGTATAGATGTGACAATATTCGTCTCAATACTGCGGGGGTCACAATGAGTGCTCTATTCTCCCCAAGTACACGTCATCTCATCAGTCATTTTAAGTAAGTACTTACGAACATTGCTGATTAGATATACCAATTACGAAAGTGTCTACAAATCACACAAATTACCTCATAATCTAAGATTTGTTGTAAGAGTCTTTAATTATAAACTTTATTTCTAAGAATTCTCATATTATATTAATTATTTAATGATAAATTATTTTGGTATTTCCGTGCTTTGAGTAAATCGATAAGATGAAATCTATTTATAGTCAAGAAACTGAGGATAAGAAATTAGGAAAGGTTTTCTAACATTAAGTAGAGATAGGTATAGGTATGAGAATAACTAGCTTATGAAGTTGCACTTCAGTCTTTTGAATATCCCCTGTGATTAGTTCCACAATCTCAAAATAACTATTGTAGTAAGTAACTTAGGAATAATGTACTATTGTGGTTCAATAATCTTAACGCTTGTATTAAAGTACTAAGCTAACAACAAATTGTCAAGTGATGATACAAAACGATAAATAAAAATGTCTAGCTACAATCCTCCATTTTCTATCTAATCTACAGCTTTCAAAATCATAGTAAACTACCTGGAAAGTCAAAGAAGCCTAATAAATATTAACCTAAGTAATTACTTTTATAACAATTTACTATTCTCACTGAACTTGGACCTGTCTCCATTAAATATGTAACATTTACTTCAACTTACAACACAATACTTGAAAACTTTCGTTGACGAAAGAAAATGAAGATTAATAATATTACTTGCAAATAAATCTTTGATGTTAGAACAAAAGCAAGACTTGTACATTGTCTTTAAAACGAAAGTCTCGCAAAATAACTGGAGGCGTATTACATTAACGTAAAGCTAATGAAATTATCTTCGAATAATCGGAAAATTCTTAATCTGTACCGTTTGAAGGATATTTTGTGTAAAAAATAATTTCATAACATCTTTTTCTTTGTCCTTTGTACTTATATCCATGTCGAACAGAAGCTCCTTTTATATTAAAATGCGTGTAGGTGATACCTACAATTTTTTATTTACCTATTTCAACATCATGACAATAATTTATTACTATTTCTGGTGAGTATTAGATGTGACGTAAATGTAACAACTGTCTCCAAAATTATAGTGCTTAACTGTCGATATCGTTAGTCTCTATTGTCGTGTCCCATTTAGTCTACCATAATTTTATTACAACATCTCAAACTTCTCAACTACTCATTGAGCTTACTTACCTATCAACTTATCATCTATTTTGAGAACTAAGATGCCAAATAACCTTGAAAGTCTGGGTCAAAGACAAAGTCAAAGTAAAAATGTTATTCAAATTAGATCGTAAAATGTACTTTTTTCACGAAAAACATCACAAAATACGTGTCTAAACATGTTCGACAGTCTATCTTTTATGAAACCGAACGAGGCTCAACTCAAGAATGTCGTAGATATATCCTTTAAAGACTCGGTGCCAATCCCAGATTAGATGATAAAAAGGCAAAAAGAAAGAAAGTAGAAAAAGCAAAACGAAATCCCCAATAAATCCCATTGTTTGTAAACCGCTACGCTTAAGTTTATTTTGAAGATCCAAATATAGTACGTTCAATGTAAGCATACCATAAACGAGAGTTAATAAATAAACTTTTTTCCGAGAGTGTGTTCTCGCCTACTCTAACAACTGTTGTAAGTGACTTCCAATATACCATAAGTGCTGCCAGGTTTAAAGCTGTAAAATTACACGTTGTACCCCCAGCTTTATCAGCCTCGAACGTGAAATTTGTTTGGAAACTTTTAAAGAATGGATTTGCTTGAATTTTCCAATGCATCTTTGAGACTTAGAGATAGTGTATGGACCCAGTGGAGAATAAAGTGCACTCCGGTAAAGTTATAACTATGGTAGTGGTGTTCTACTAGCATAATGGTGATTTTATATTATTGTTACATCATTATTATATTATCTTATATTATCGTTGTGCACTATTGCATCATATGAAGCATATGTTTGAAATATTCAAGTGAATCTTCAATAAAATCATGGCTTGCTTCTTGCGGCCTACCATTTACTCTTCTCTGCATCACCCAAAGGTCAGATTAGGAGAAAATGCCTGCGGCATTAAGTCCACCTGTTGTACAATATGTGTATTATACAAATAAATAAATACGATTACGTATCTCCTTTCCGCAAATTCTTCCCATGAGCTTTATAATGTTCGACATTTAATTACTTAAACATGTACGGAACCATATGATTTTCTTTCGTTTATGTCGGTCTACTATTCGTTTTTTTTCTATTGGTTACGCAAGCGGTATTAATTAATGCTCTGGGCAAGCAAAGCTATAATGAAGTTTTACGCGATTCCTGGTTTACATTCATTAGTAGCTTCTCGTTCAATAAATTATTACGTGAGGTACGTTGATTTGTTTTTACGTTTGTAAATAGTCTTACTTACATCTACTTCGATTCCTGGTAGTGGAAATACTCTGGTATGTGGTAGTTCTTTGGGAATGTACCGGTAGAATTCTTCCCTCCCTCGGTACCATTTCACACTGTATAATGCTTCTTCATCTTCTAACTGCCAGCTACATTCTAGTGTGACTGTTTCCCCAACCAACACTGCGTTGGGGACGTTGATCTCCAGATTGTGAAGACCTCTGACACCTGTGAAAAAGAAATCGTACCATCAGTTTGTCGTCTTGTAACCTGGTTAATAATCTTACAGATAGAAGGAATCTGAATGTCGTCTGAATAGTCATCAATATGAAATTTTCTCTAGGATAATGCGTAATTTTCATTTTCATTACATTTATATTCTCGAATAAACCAAAACAAACTTCTAAATACTACACTCAATATATCCAATATCACACTAAATTGTAGTTCTTGGAAAAGCTAGATAGATTTATGATACTAAAGGCACACCAGATTTTAACCAGGTATACATATCTATATTTGTCTGTTTATTTGTCCATCTTTCATAATAATACGGAGCACCGAATTTTTTAAAGTGAAGATAGTCGAAGGAATAGAAACTGACGTAGGTATTTTTTTTGTTTCTCATTCCCCACTTCCCTAGAGTGGGAGTAGGAGTTTGTATGGAGCATTCCGCAATGTTCAAGGCAGAAAGGCAAAAAATAGTATGCAAACTACATATGATAAACAAAAAAATCATCAGTTCATATTATTTTTTTTGTAGATATTATACAAAGCGCGTGCAAACTGTGACCGAAAAGCTTGTTAGTAATATATATAACTGATGCTTTTACATGAAACTGAAAATGTAAAATAATATTATATTACAGTTCTAGGTAATAGAAAACGTAATACCATAACCAGCCTATTGCTAAGTTTGAAATCGAAACTAGAACACGAGCAAAATAAAGCGAATAAGCCAATAACGATCGCTATTCCACTAAGCAGATTTACCAACATTGGCCCAAATGAAACTTGTGTTGTAGCTATCACAATTAGGAGTTCCATTACCAACCGCAATGAAAGCAGTTGTTGAGCCCCGAATAAACAATGCTCTACTCCGATTCCAAAATGCCATAGAAAATAGACTCCAACTTGAAATGGCTTTACGTGTGTACTGTGTGCCTTCTTAGATGTATACAAAGGGTACTTTTTGTATACTTATACTCGTAGCTCGGTTGATCGTTTATTGTTTTGTGTTGGGTGAATGAATGGTCTAGATATTTTAAGCAAAAGAAATTCAAAGTCAATATCAAAATCATTTATTTCAAATAGACCAGTGCCTTTAGCGCTTGTCTACAGAGAGTAGAGAGCGTTAGAGGGAGTAGAATTCAAAATGTATGGGGATGACACGGACAAGTGACAAAATTTACGTCAATTCCATATAATATGGTTTTCTATTCTACATGTAGACATACGCTAAATGGCATTTGGCTACAGCTGAAGTGAAGATAGTTGCTCATTCCAAGGTGTAGATTTCTATGGAGAGGAACGAGCAAGAAACTCCTTAGGTTACTCTTTTAATCGGGTTTACATAGTTTTGTTGGTTCGATTGTATGAGAACAATGCACAACAATCAACAATGAACAATTGAATACATAGAACTGAAGGTACTAGGTAGGTACTGACAGTTGGATAGCAGTAATTAGCATCTTTTACGTCTAAACGTTTGGTGGTTTCAAGCAATTCAAAGCTTCTTATCCATTTATTATATAAATAAAAATGTATTTCCGTTCGTTAGTCTCGCTAAAACTCAGGAATGACTGAACCGATTTGGCTAATTTTGGAATGTCCGTACAAAACCAGGGAAGTTTTAAAAGGAGAACACCAATTTAGGCGGTACGAAGTTTGCCGGGTTATCTAGAATTTATATAATTACTAGCGATCCGCCCGGCTTCGCACGGGTGTAATATCCATGTATTACACATATAAACCTTGCTTAAGAATCATTCTATGTATTAAAAAAAACCGCATAAAAATCGGTTGCGTAGTTTTAAAGATCTAAGCATACTTAGGCCTGTGCCTATGTATGCTTAGATCAGACAGACAGACGGTGGGTAGAGACTCTGTTTTATACTATGTAGATAGTGATATTTTGATTTGATAGTTTTCTTTTTGAATGGTTCGACCGAGAGATATTGAGCTAAACGTGAATTTATGTTTTGGAATACGAGAGAACAATGGGGCAAACTTTGTATAATTTTTAAACCTAACTAAGTATTTTATATATATACTTTTACTTTGTTTAGGTAACCGTGTTGCGTACTACTTTGAGTGACTATAAATTATTTTGACACGAAACCTATTTAAGCTAAGTGCAATTTTATGTTGTAGGCTGGAAATCGAATCCATTAGTAAATATAGGTGATGTATCAAATAGATAAGAGTGTTTTTACTAGTTGTATTGTATTATCACCTACACGTGGTATGGCAAAAAGCGAATGTACCAATTACCATATTCACGAAGCCAGATCGTGTAGATACTAATGTCGGATTCCCAAGAAATTGTTTATTTACTTACTGACTGCTATATATCAAACGTATTTCCCAGACTTCGTACTATTTACCCAATACTAATTACTAGCTTCAAGCACAATCAGACTAAGAATGTAGTGATATATTTATTGAAATGAACTCGAACTAAGAACTAAATAAAGTAAACCAAAAGGATGACAACCTTTTGGTTCTAGATTTGAACATCTCCTCTTTTCAATGTCTTCATCAATCTACACACAGGCAGACACTACTGCGTGCTTGTCTACTGTTGAAACTATTATCCTGCATACGTTTACGTGACCTTCGATCTCCAACAAATAGAACAAATAGGCCATCTACCTCTATGCATACTTCACGACCCGCACCTTATACGGACCTTTAGATTTTGGGTAGACAAACAAAATGTGTATATGCATTAATTATTTATTTATAACTAGCTTTAGCACGCGAATCCAGATTCTATACTTATGTCAACAGTAGATGTAGCTTACCATAATCTAAACTAAAGCATCCATCAATTCTCCACAATTCTCAAATTCCCAATTCCCAAAAGGCCGGTAACGCACTTGTAACGCCTTGGTGTTCCAGGTGTACATGGGCGACGGCGATTGCTTACCATCAGGGTCTCCGTCCGTCAGTTAGTTTACCGGCTTATGTCATAAAAAATCATTCTGTCTCTGTACAAATACATTCAATTTCATTAAGAACAATTCAGGTCTGCCATCCGTAGCTAGATTAGGGGCCTTCTAGAAAGTTTGCCATAGTCACCATGGGCCATGCTTCGCTTGTGGGTTGGAGATGGCTGTGTAAAGGGTTCAGGTTTATCAGAGAAGGCTGTTATCCAGTTTGTGGCAAATACGTAATTCCTTAGGAAGGAGTAGGGATGAATGACCAACGTAATATACTCCGCTATCACAACACGGCTTATGCTAATACATACGTACCTATAGAAAAGTAGAGCAGCCATAAGTTCATTGAACGTATTAAAAAAAAAAAAAAATATCTGCTTTCACAAATTAGAGGAAGGTGCGCCAATGTTCGTCAATTTTTATTCAGATTTATGAGATACAATAACAGTGACTCATAGGCAATATAAAATGATTCATTGCATTTATCAAAACTTTTTGATTTTATCTACAAAACCAGACTGATATTGAGATATTATTATTTTGTATAAGATTTGTGTAAAAATAGAATGTCGTAAGTAGTGTTTAAAAAATAAACATCTTTTTCCTTGCAATACCTACCTACAAGGGATTTTTTTCCCGTTTGTCCATAAGGCGCCTGGTAAAGCAGTGGATATTTTGTGACTAACATGATAATGATGTAGATGATTGAATACTCTTAACAAAAATAAACCTCGCATATACAAATTTTGTTAAACCCGTGTTATCTATATTTTTAATATGTGTTATGTAACATTCTTATAAGAACATTACGCGTAGTAGTAACACTCAAAACAAAGTGTGAACATCTTCACAAGGATACGAACGATTTACCAATTTATGGTTCCAAATTGATCTGATAACGTTGGAAGGATGCTGCTTATCCTGTGCGAATATGAGACAAATGAGGGCAAGGAATCAACCGGTTGTTGGGCACTTTAGTAGAACAGCACCATATGTCATTACTTCAGTTATCTGCTAACTATACACTTTAGGTGTTTAAAAATAAATATTTAGTAATTTCATAATGTGTATTATAATAAATACTGTGTAGGTGTGTAGGTACGTTATTGGCCTACAAGGCCTTATTGTTGAACAATATTTTAGGTCTATTTTTAAGAAATGGTTATTGTTTAACTTACAAAAGTAATTATAATATAGTTTTTTTTTTTAAGGGGGGAAAATCATCGAATGACTGCCCCCGCCTGGGTGAGGCGGGAGGGAGTGTCAGACTCTTACTGACTAAAAACCACCCCGTTCCTTCTCCTGCACGTCGAGCCGGAGCCCCGGTTACCCGTTAGGTTCTCCGCGACTCCGAATTATAATATAGTATACAGTGCTTCTATCAGCTTTTGTTACTAAGCATTATAATAAGAGTGAAGATTTATATGACTAACAATCGCTATGTCGATACAGGTACCCGTACGAAGCTTCACAATACAGCAACAACGTTTTACTCGGAAGAAAATCTCATACAGGGCAGAAGCTGCCGTCTCATTGATCAAAATGTCTTCTTATTGTAGCAGGAAACAATAGATGAGGTCAGAGCAAACAACATTTTAGACTGGCCTACATTCCCCCTGGGCATCGGCCAGCTCCAAAACGTTGTTCGGAAACGTTCAAATATACTGAATAAATAAATAGAAAACGTTCTCGTGAAACGAGAAATAAAATAGACATTCAACCATCAAAAGAAGAATTAAAGAAGCTTGGTGAGATTACGAAATGTATAACAAGCCTTACTACATAAAACGTGGCAGAGCTACCAACTGAAAGAGACAGATTTCACGAATAAAAGTGGAGCTAGAGCACAAAAACATGTGAATAAAAACATTCGTTTCTCTTCTCTTATAAAACGTTAATTTTCTTGATTCGTTTAATCCATACGAAATATGTTCTTGTCTTGCTCCCGAGATCGGATTACACTTGTCATACCACACTGACATACAGAAATATAAAACACGTAGTTGAAGTAATAAATAATATAAAATGTAAGCTCACTTTCTAATCCATATAATGCGAGTAGAA